TCTTCACTATTGAAATCCATAGGATATAACTGAGCAAGTCGAACCAATTTACATACATCAAAAGCTGCAAATGAATCTCTTGGGCTTAAACATGAAATGCAAGTAAAAAGTTCAGTAGTTGTTTCTGGAAAACGATCATTCAACTCTTGCAAGATTGAATCTATCACATAACAAAACAAATCAACATAAAAACAATGATAATAAGTCACCTGCTGACTTGCACGCCTAGGTCGACCTTTCGATACTACAATATCATCTATATTGGGCACTGAAATATGTCTATCAACACAAAACTGAATTACCTTACTCAACAAAGTATCCCAACCATTGTCTCTCATGTTTTGCAATGCGTACTTACACAACTTCAATAATCTCATAGCATTCTGAATATCCTGATCCTTTTTCTGTAAGGCTTGTGAAAGGTCATCTGTAATTGCTAGAATTTCAAACATAAAATGGAGACTGAACACAAATTGAAAATCTTGCATAATGTCCATCTGTCTGATGGCCATTGATTTTTGTTGTAAACTTATGCCGTCTTTTGATATATTCTCAAGAACATCTATGATCGCATTAAACATACTAATAAAGTGAGTAACTGTCTTTAGATGTGAGCCCCATCTAGTATCACCTGGACGTGCCAAACTCATTTCTTGAAACTGACCAGTTCTACCAGAAAGTTTTTCAATATTAAGCCTCTCCAGAATTTCAACATGATAACTTGTTCGAAGAGCATCTACACGTTTACATGACGCGCCAACCAAATTCACAATAATATCAAGCATGTTAAATAAATCACTAAGCATAACATTCCTATGTGCCACAGAAACAACTACTAACTGAAGCTGGTGAGCAAAGCAATGAATATACATAGCACATGGGTTCTCTCTTAAAATTAAAGCTTTTAAACCATTGAACTCACCTGACATATTGCTTGCTCCATCATAACCTTGACCTCTCAGACTAGATTCAACCCATGCGTAGAAAATATTGCATCAATGGCATCCTTGAGTGATTGGGCACAAGTATCAACGATGTGGCAAATACCCAATAAACGCTCCTTCACTTGTCCACTTATGTCAACAAATCTCAAAACAACTGCCATTTGTTCTTTTACAAAATTATCACGAGACTCATCAACCAAAATTGAAAACAAGGAATCGCCCATCTCATTGATCATAGACCTTGTCGTCTCAACAGCACAACAATTAACCAAATCCTTATGGATGCTTGGTGAAGTCATTTGGTCATTTCCAGGAGCATTACTAAATAGTACTTCATTAATTTTCTTATGACGAGTTGCATACCAATTTAGTAGCTCAATCAGATTTCCTTTATTAAGAGACTTTCTCGATTCATCATGACCACGAGATGACAATCCTTGCATCAAGAGAAATCTAGTACAGTCTAGCACCGCAGTTAACCTTGTCCTATAATTTTTTTGTTGACTACTACTTTGACTAGAAATAACATGGGAGATACTTTGCTTTTGATTCATCAAATTGGTACACTTTGCAAAAGCTTGATTATGAGCACTATCAATGAGCCCGACATGATCTTTCAATGTACTTTTGTGCTTCCAATCCCTAAAGCCAGTCTTAGTGAATATATGTCCACCCCCTTGACCCCCTCTATCTGGTTTGAATAAGTAGCAATGCAAATAATAAGCCGCATCATTTTCTATACTGTACTCCAACCAATAAAATTCAGAAAACCATTCTCTTCGAAAACACCTATTATCATTTCCTATCCGTCTTCTTGGAAAGTCATGTCCATGTGGTTGACAATGACCTTTTTGCAAATATGCCATCCTAACATCATCTCTGATATTAGGATCATATGATTCGATAGGGGGACGTTTTCCTGGATCAGATATAAGATCATCTACATTGAATTGAGCCCGAGACTTCTTTGTGCTATTTAATAA